AAAATCTGTGTAAACTGAAAGCTTATTTTGCATGTGATTTTATACGCTACCTCACATTTCACTGACTATACATTTATCAGATGCAGACAAGCAGATCTACTGACATACGTAATTCTTCACTGAGGCCAGCTGAGGAATATTTCATGCAGAATGCCTTTCCTGTAAATAAGTGTTCAAAGAACTAAAAAAAATAAATTTCATACTCCCTTCCTGGGTCTCTAAGAGGAGAGAGAAATTCCCCATCTGTTCTACCTGACATCTCTATCAGCATTCCTGTGTGCTGGAGGTTTCAGACCTGCAGCCCCCAGCCAGAATGGAGCGAACGCGGCATAAACGCCTGCTGCAGAGTTAAAGATCAGCTCTTTGGCTGCCAAATCTGAATAGCTCTTTTCTGCACCGCTGCAAAGCGATGAGGATGCTTCAATGAACACTCTAGGTTGTGTAGGTAGATGAATAGTTGAAGTTACTTTTCTGGCATGTCCTCTGTATGTAAGCTGGCGCTGCCCAATAAATCTGAAAGGCCCACATGGCTTGTGTTGCACGCTTCCCTCTTCACTCAGATAATATTGGTTCACTTTTGCTACCTAAAACATGTATTCCGTTAAGTTACCAAATTGATCCTAAGTGATGGTAGAGGCTTTAGACGAGGAAAAACTCCCTTGATAAGCGCATGTCCTTTCCTTTGCGTTGGCATAATATAATAAACATAATAAAACTTCCCAGGTCAAACTCTGCACGGTACCGGGGGTGCTGGTACCATGTCCTGAGCAGGAGCCATAGGCGTGGACCCTCCAGAGGGGAGGGACTGCACATGAGTAGGACTGCAAACGTACTTTCACCCTCACCTTCATCCTCTCACTAGAATGAAAGGACCTTGCCAGGTCCCCAAAGAGCCACCTGAGCTTGAACAGGGGGGACGGGGAGTTTACCTGCTGGTAGACTTTGGCTTCCAGTGCATCGCATGGAAATATTAACGAGGGAACTTTCAGGGGAGCGAAGACCTTGTGGCTTTGCCCTACAAAAGCATAACCGTGTGTCTGTTATAGAGTACTTGGGATAACCAAAGCCAGTAGAAGATTAGGAGGAAATCAACTTCCTTTCTCCTTCACACACTTTCTCAAGAATCCATTGCTTACGGCCACTATAGCAAATTGCACTACATATTGCAGTATAAAATAGCATCTGCAAAGTATTATCCATAGACCTGGGGATCTTGACCTTTAGCTCTTCTTCTCAGTTCATTAAAATGCCAGTTTTCTGTATTTTTAAAACACTGCCCACTTCAGGGATAAACCATAATGACGGGCTGTGTGTGACACAGTCTGATGGATACTCGGCTTCTATCTCAGGTCCTCTTTCTCCTATCAGGCTGCTTCTGTCTCTCTGGAATGTTGAAATCTTTTGATGAAATCCTTTTACTCCATGGCTTCTTTATTGATACTTCCCCTTTGTCTGGCAAAATTTTAATTACTACAGTACTGCATAACTCAGTGCTCTGATACTACCTCTGCGACTGGAGCAAAAGCAATTCCTAAGATAGAAAGCAAGTATAATACTCTGCTATTATGTCTTCTTTTATGGCTTCTAGCACCCTCTTTATGGCTGCTAACATATTGTGGTCTCTGCATTTCACTTACTGATTTCTGCTCTCCTTCACTCAACGTGTCCTTTTTCTCACCCAAAGAATTAACACCCCGTCCCTGCTGTCTCTCTTTCCTGTTCTCAGTTATAACGTAGTGAAGTTTTCTTCTCCTTGCCACGTTATTCTTTCCCATCTCTCGAAGACAGGAGTCTATATAATGCTCTACATCTTCTGCAACACAGCCAGGATGCAACAGTCTGTGCTCAGCGTTACCGTGTGTTGCTTAACGCACAGTGGGAGGACCTAATACAAAAGTCAGAGCAGGAAT